TGGCTGCAGAAGAATTATCGTTGAACTTTTAAAAAGGTAAGCTTAAATGTTAATGCAATAGAAGCATGAATATGGCAATGAAAATGAGGATAATGTAAATAATATAAATAATCGTAATACCTCATCTCAGGGATATAGACAGATGTTAAAGGTTCAGCACGAGAAATCGGTGAACCAAGTTCGAATTCCTCTTGAGGGTGTTGCATTTACTTTCGCGCAAATAACCTTGGGAATGTCTGAACCCATCTCTTCTCCTCCTAGCTATTGTTTTAAATAGCAGGGCAGACTGGACACAATTGCCTTGTTTTGCACATAGGATAGGAAAATGATAACTTTGAAAGTCAAAAATGGCTCTGATTTACGTTCGGACTATTGTCTTCTCAGTAGTCTGAATGTAAATATATATTATACATATATTATATATTATAATAATACACATTTACATATGAAAAATTTGTTAGATTTAACCTGTAGAAAAAGACAATATTTATGACTGTAATAGACAATAAGAAAACTGTAATAGTTGCCGACATCTTCCACATGATAATAATAAAAATAATAATACATTATATTTATATTTAACAAAGACCTAATAAGAACTTGTTATTCTCCATTATAAATCTCGCCGATGAAAGGCCTCCGAAAATGGTCGACTCCAACAATAGTCAGACGACATTATGGTACCATTCTGACATTGATTAAAATAGGATTATTGAACCGGCAATTCGATGATTGAATTGGGGAAAATGACAGAACTGCAATTCGTTTAGCAATTCTAAACATACGCAGATGCGATTGACATCCGAATACTTAATGGCCACCGCTCACCATATCACCACTCCCCACTGATTGTTCTGATTTTTCTTGATGAACTCAGGACACACCCACCTTCCAATCTTCACTCATGCAAAGATCTTTCGTTCCCGCCTAACCAAAATAAATACTTCTACCATCAATACAAAGTTGTCAACCTTTTTTTTTTCTATTAGAATGGACGCAAACTTTAACTGTAGTAAGAAGAGACGAACGCAAGTCTTTCCCAAGAGTATAAGTGAGAAAATGAGTGCAACAGACTAGTCCTGGCGCTATCGATTCCAATTTCTGCGTCGATATCTCTTATACTACGCGCACATTAAAAACTGACACGGGCGCGCGCACACACACACACACACACATATATATATATATATATATATATATATATATATATATATATATATATATATGCAGTTTTATATATTATTATTAATATATTATATATGCGCAGTACTTATTGGAAAGCGATCAATATTAGTGATATAGCAAACATATTTAGTTGGAGTGATGTGAGCTTAGACCTTGTGTTTCATGCCCTTTCCAATCATCAGCTGATGATCGCAAAGGGCGTGAAACTCAGGATCACAATTTCACATAAATCAAACTAAAATATATATATATATATATATATATATATATATATATATATATATATATATATATATGAAGATTATTTTCTTTTGTACTTTATTTTTATAGATTCAAATATTTAAGTAAATGCACTGTTTATAATAAACAGTATTAACAGCATTTATCGGTCTGAAAAATCGACACTGCTAACAAGACGAGCTTCTGTAGCTAGATGGTATAGCAAGTCAGGCTATATGACAGTTACAAGTAGGATACAGGTTCGTTTCCTGTCGGAGGACCCATATTTTCTATGGAAATTTCTCGGACATTTAGGCCGGTAAATACACATACTTCCTATATTGTGTACGGTTCGTATGTGTGCTTGTTAGTAGTCTATTAACTTTTTTTTTCCAATGTGCGTGTGCATATATCCGTTCCCCATAGTTACCTGCGTTTGAGTGTGTGTGTAGGTATGTGAGTAGTGTGTGTGTGTGTGTGTGTGTGTATATATATATATTAATGCATGTTTCATTAAATAATATAGACAAATTTTGTCTATTTATTTTAAGTTCCTTTCATATTGTCTGATAAGCTTAATAACATTACCGTTGAAAAAGGAAAGGAAAACACCATATTGATGCATGTTTAAATCCAATTTAAGCTTTCGGCTTACACAAGCCATTATCAAAGATGACTTGCTGCATGAAAAATTTCAAAGTAACGACAAACTCGTATATACGAGACGCGGAAGCGAAAATCGCGTCGCAGCTCGTGACGTCACGCATGACAACGCGAGAGAGAAAAACGAAAGTATTAAGTATGGGAAGCCAATGACTTCTGTTATAAATTATATATATATATATATATATTTCGATGTTTGATCATTTGGAGAGAAATTTGGCCCGACCCGAGGAGTTTTTCCATACCCCATCGTGTTTTCGTTTGCGTGTTGAAATATTTTAATCTGTTTCACTGTCTGTCTCCGTCTCTCTCTCTCTCTCTCTCTCTCTCTCTCTCTCTCTCTTTCTCTCTTTCTTTACGGACACACACACGTCCACGCACACTTTTACATAACTAAACTTCTTAATAAAAAGGATAAATATTTAAAATTGTATTTTTAACACGATGTTGAAAATGAGAAAAAAAATATGTGATTACAGAAGCAAAACAAAGAAAACAAAATCACATTTAAATTTTAAATAATCGTTTTCAATCCTTTTAAGTCGAAATAGAATTGGATGAACTTAAATCTTAATTACGCCTTTGATTAGCATTGAAGGATCGGGACAACGAACTGAGTGGATCGTTGGTTGTTTTTCGTTCCGAAAGAACGAACACGCTGAAATATTATGACAAAAAGTTTCTGATGACATTGTCATCCGCATATCCTGAACGGAAGAGAGCACTTCAAACTGGTGTCATGGACAGAAAACCTGTCCCTCCATAATAATTACTACTGTGACCGATCCTGTCTCGGTGCTCCACACTTTCGGCCTTATGCCACATCTAAGCTACGTTTAGTAAATTACTGTTACTATAAAAGATTATTAAGAGTATTTCGAGGTGGTGTAATGGTTAGGAAACTTCTCCCGCTATATCAATTAATAGTGAGTTCGATCCGAACTAGGGGCTCTATACTTTTCAGCCTTGTGCCACATCTAAGCTACGCTTATTAAATTAATATGAAAGATTGTTAAGAACACTTCACCGTAGTTAGTAAACTTGTCACGTTAAATCAATTAGTAGTTAATAGTACTCTTTTCATATACATCTTTTATTAGGGCACCTCGAGGCGGTGTAATGGTTAGCAAGCTTGTCTCGCTCGAGTCGTGAGTTCGATCCTCACTGGGTGCCCCATACTTTCGGCCTTGTGCCACAGCTATGCTTGGAAAATCACTATACATCTTTTACTAGGGCATCTCGAGGTGGTGTAATGGTTAACAAGCTTGTCTCGCTAGAATTATTACGGCTGAGTAGTGAGTTCAATCCTCACTGGGTACCCCTTACTTTCGGCCTTGTGCCACATCCAAGCTACGCTTGGAAAATCAAGGGGCACCTCGGCGTGATGTAATGGTTAGCAAGCTTGTCTCGCTAGATCAGTTACAACTGAAAAGTAAGTTCGATCCTCACTAGATGCCACCTACTTTTGGCATTGTGCCACATCTGAGCTACACTTGAAAAATAGCTATACATCTTTTATTATTTAAAAGCGATTTCAGTATTCATGTGTCACACGTGCCAACGTCTGTTAAAACATTTCCCATATATTAACATTATTGTACTTTATTTTAATGTTTCCAATTCGTTACTCGCATCTTGGGTTGTCCGTCTTGGTTATCACCATGTCTTCCGGCCTCTTAGACCGATTGTCAGACCTTTCTTCTTGCTTTCAATGCAGCAAAGGGAGGCGAGAAATGTATGGAATAAATAACGACAGCAGAGTTACGATTATTTACACTATTTAACTTCGGACTATTGTCCTCATCTTCGTTGTTGTTTTGGCCGTTGTGCTCTCCGGCCTTCATTAGGCGTATATCGAACTAGATTTGAACTGAAGCCTTTTATTTAATCTACGGAGGCAGACAGTTGTCGATTTACTGCCAATATCCAGGGAAGTTCTTATTTTTAGTACTAATCAGTTATTTCCTGTTCATTTACAATGAGTCCATTACCCACTGCCTAGCCCAGGGACAGTAGTTCGAATGTAAATCATGCAAATAACATGGAAAACAATATCGTAAATTCTCTTTAAAATTATAATATTTTTCATTGTAAAAGACCGGCTTAAACTTTCATGTCTTTCGTTTATTTTCAGATTACCAAACATTTCTTAGAACCTGGGCTTAACAAATACAGCGAACCGGCCAACGGTCAGGTGAGTACATATAATCTGTTAAAGAACATTTGACAAAAAATTTTGGTATTTTTTAAAATACATTTTATTTATTTGCACATTCTAAAAATAAAATGAAACACGATTATTATCTATTCCTCACTTCGTTCCGAAAAATGTATATACCGTAATTCTTCATGTATAATACGCATTTTTTTCTAAAAAATATTAAGCAAAATGAGGAGTGCGTATTATGTAGAGCTACAAAAAATCTTTTAAAAAATTGCTGTAAAATAAAATAAGAATTATCATAAAACTAAATTAGAATAATATTATTCTATGTTTAAAACCATTTTTTATTTTAATAAGAGTAGGAAACGCTGGCCGTAATGAAAATGGAGAGGTACAATTTATAGGGTTTGATTACCAAACAAGGGGTGCATATTGAGCGTGAGTAAAATCATTTTCCCACACTTTCAGCACTATTTTAAGGGTGCGTATTATGGATGAAGGCGCACTATACATGAGGAAATACGGTAATTTCGTGTTTGATCTGATGTCACCCAGAAAGGCGAAACGCGTAATCAAATCTAGTTTCCATGAAACGGTTTTCCATTTATCATATTCTTCAAACATTGTTCAGAAATATCCAAACTGTTCTTTGTATATAACCTTCTTGGATCAAATGATTGAAAATGGCGCCAATAAAATGAAGCGTGTAGGTTGCTACTGTTTCGATCAAAAGTTTGGAAAATAAGACCCCTTCAAGACTAGAAAAGGCTTACGGTTATATCATTTTGAAACACTGGTCCTTATACGATCACCGGAATTAAGCAACGTCGAAACTGTACAGTACTTAGAGGGGTGACCGCTTGGGAACACGATGTGCTGTAAGCTTGGATGTGTGGGTGGTGTAATGAAAAATGGCTCAGAATTGTTAATGGAAGAACCAAGTTCTAATTCCCGTTAAGTTCATTGTATTGACTTACGCGGGGGTTGGTGAAGGCATAAAACCACGTCTACTTCGCCCAGCGAAGGATTAATTAATAAGATTTGTACCAATAAACCATTATTATTTGTTAAGAAATTCTTCCAATCTTATCTTCAACGGGTTGATAAGCCCGAGAAAACGGATCGATCGATCAATCAATAGCGGAAAGATCGATAATACTTAGTGGACTTGTGAAACCATTTTCCTAAAAATCGTTTTAATAGAAAGATTTTATAAATTTCGATCTAAACTAGCACTGGCTGCTCGGTCAATGAATGCCAAATGTTTCCTTGTAAGGAAATGGATAATATTGCCATTGCCATTAGAGATTGGGGGAACAGGTACTACACTTTGATTCCACCTTGAATGTCAAAAGATGAATAAAAATAACTTTAGATGCACTGGCTGCTCGGTCAAAGCCACCACTCAGAATTAAGAGGAGATGAACAATGAAAAAATAGCTCTTAGAGTCATTGAAAAAAGAATGGAATCAATTATCAAAGTTTGGGAGACTTTTGCAATAAATGCCAAAAATGTGTGCTGCAGTAATTAAGTCTAAAGGAGGATATTGTGACGAGAGCAAAATTTAATCATAAAATTCCTTTTCTTTTTTTCTTTTTGCCTTAATAAAATTTCTAATAAAAATCATGTCTCACTTTTTTTAAAAAATATGATTTTCTCTCATCTAAAGTACAAAACAATTACTTTTTGGGGCCAATGTAAAAAAAAAATATTATAGGTAGCCTCAAACTTTAGAACTGTAGAGGATTTTATGCGTTTAGTACGTACACGATTCACATCCTGAATTTTTTTTTAATGATCGATTCAGGGTAAATGATATCACTGCTTTCATTCCAATTCGAGATCATATTTTTTTGAAAAGGTTTATCTTGAGTTATGTCTTTGAATATTTGTTAATTGCCTATCCCACATATGAATGCCTATGTCGTCAGCATATCGGTAGTGGGTGGGGGAAACAGGATCGTTGTCTACTAATATACCTTTATTTTTCTCTTTGAGTGACATGTGCTATCTATTTCAGTTGTTACTACAGTTGGTAGTCCTCAAGTGATGTGGTTTTATTTATTTGTGATTCTGTAGTACCAGTCCACAAAGTTCGCCAAGACCCTCAGGCTTTCCTTGCTCAAATGATTTTTAATCATTGATCTTTAAAAATGCAAATGACAGTATTTTTTAAAAAACTGGAATAGAGGTTCTTCCATTGTTTTCTGTTGAGGATTGCGTTTCCCTTTCCTTTCAAAATCTCATTCTCTTTCACTAGCAACGATCCCTTGCGTCTTAGTGACATTATCGCTTGCTTTGGGGTGAAATGATTAAAAAAGAGAATTTAAAAATAATTATACAGTCGTGCCACCCATTAGCTCTCTTCCAACTTGTAGGAGCTCGTGTGAGCCATTTGAAATAGAAAATTATATTATATACGGGTGACAAGACTTTCAGACCATCTAGTAATTTAATTTATTCAGAAGAGGATTATATGGAAAATTATATATTGATAGTACCATATAAGTTGTTTTTTCTTCATGGGGCTACGGACTTATTTAGGTATACACATTCGGGTGCTGATAATTCTAAACTTGACTCATTCCCCAAAATCAGTCCCTTAATGAGCAGACATCCGAATACTGATTGTGATCGGGTAAAGAATTTTTCAGTATTCTGCGAACGTAATAATTTTTATAGAGATATAAAGTAAGGCTTCAAGAACACCAGAAAGCTGTAACACGAGGGGAAGCGGAAAAATCAGGCGTGGCTGACCACATATGGAGAGAGAAGGGAGATCACTGCCCACTGTGGGATCAGGTTGAGATCATAGACAAGGAACACCATTAGAAAATTCGTAAACTTAAGGAATATGCTAGGCCACAAAAATCTCCTGAGCCGACCAAGCATAGAAATGAATACAATATGGGAACTAGTAATAAGGAGTGCCAAAGAAAAGCGATAATAACAACAAAAGTTGCAATATGAGCTCTGGTAAAAACATAGAATGATAACAGCAAAAAATTGCAATATGAGCACTGGTAGAAATGGTTCTTGAAGACATTAGGTTTATAATACCCAGAAATCCATACACAGATGTCCTCAAGGACACATGGCACAGTGGATAAAGGCGTTAGTTAGATCCAGTGACAGGACCCAAAAAGGAGTGTGAGTTTAATACCCGGTTAAGCCAGTGGAGAACTTTCAGAGGGAAATTAACAGGAGATAACTGATAACTGACATCCATTAAACATGGCACGTGGAACTAGAACGGTCTACCCCAGTGAGCGAAATAAAGGGTTAAGTTCGACATTCCAACTACCTGAAGAAGGCCGAAGCGTACAACGACCGAAACGTTGTAATAAATAGGCCGACAAAGGTGAGGACAATAGACTGAATAATGTAATTAATTTATTATGTTGTCGGCAAGGCTGTATTTCGATTATTCATAAAAGAATAACCGCATAAAAATATTTTTAATCATATTCAATCAATGGTTGCTATTGATTTTTAGGACTACGCCTACCAAGATTCAAAAATAGAATGTTAAAATTTTAATTTTTAAAATCAAAACTCTGAATTGCACATTTGTATTAAGATGGCGTCCTTATATCGCCCGCCAAAAATTTCTTTGTTTGATTAAAAAGAAAAAAAAAAAGAAAATTAATCGGACCGGAAGAAGAGCAGCGAGATATGATTTTATATCAGTAAAGTGAAATATCTGAGGCCAAAGGAACATTAGGGCAGCGATTGCATACGACAAATGACGCATGGCAGAAAGATGGGGACGACAGAAGGCAAAACCGTTCAAAGAGAAAATTAAACAAACATGGCGGATAAATGATGATTTTATTGACTTCAAGTTTATTGTTGATATCTTTTATTAATTAATATTCTTTTTCTTTTGTTTGATTTTTTTAAAATGTTGTTGTGAATGAATTTCGTTATTTTTTTTTATCACTAATCGAATTTTGGTTTTAATTTAACGCGATTCGTTCATAAGTTCAAGAAAACTATCTCTAAATATTTTGATTTTAGTTGTTGATTATGTGCAGTGGAGTATCGTGAATAACCACAAAGACATTACGAGTCCAACAAATCTATCTCATCTTCTATCTCAGACTGTGTTGGCTTAATGGTGACCAGTTTTTTAATTCAATAATATTCACGTGATTAAAATACATAAAACAGAGATACTGGAAACTAAAATAGATAATAAATAATAAATAAATAAATAATAAATAAATAATAAATAATAATAATAATAGATAATAAATACTGGAAACTAAAATAGATAAAACAGATACTTGGAAACTAAGCGAGAAGAAGATTTTTTTATCTTGAATTCAGTACCAAATTATTTGTAAAAAAATAATTATTTGGTTTAAAACAAAAATTAAATTCGAAATCCAATCAGCAAAATTGCCACGTATGAAAGCTAATTAAAACAAATCCTTCTCCTACCTAATGGAGTAACCCCATCCTGATTGACCATGTCTACATGGTGCGGCCTTACCACACTTGCCTAATTGCAGATTTATGAGGCTATTTGACCCATAGTTAGAGGTTTTGAATTCTTCTAGATCGGTTGCCAGCCAAGGCTATAGGACCCAATCGTAAAAGCCGTATTTAAATTCTTTATCAAACAGTTCGAAATTAATTTAACAAATGCGTAAGCTCTAAATAAAGGTGATTCTTAAGGAATAGATTTTCATGATTTTAAGGTATTTCTATGAGTATCTGTCTATATTTCTGAGATGAGGTATTTATGTACACTGTTTACATTATTCTCTCTATGACTTGAAAGAAATACTAAAATGCTTGATACGATGGAAAATGTGATACAGATATCCGATGAGGCGTCCAAACAGCGAAAGATGCCTTCCAAAAGCTAAACATATTAGGAAACAAGAAAATTTCGTGAGAAACAAAAATAAAATGAAAATAAAAAATGCCGGAATGCTATGTAATATCAGTCCTCCTGCGAATGTGAACAATTTTCGCACAGATGAAGAGAAAACTCCAGAAAACAGAGATGTGATTCTACAGAAGGATGCTGAGAATATTATAAAAGCTAAATGTGAGGAACGAGACGGTTTTAAATGAAAACAAAACTTATATTCCGAAAGAAATATTTTAAATATCTGAGACACGTAAAGAGGACAGAGGGTTTAGTGAATTTAAAACACAGAGGACCTACTAAAGGCAAGGATAATATAGGGAAGCATCGAATAACTTACATGATCTGATTGGGTCATTGGATGACAGGGCAAAGAAGAGGATGGTTTGGTTAGGTTTATTTTGTTTTACGGCATGTCAACACTTCAATGGGTTATTTAATGTCGACAAGATTTTTACGATAGGTTCGTATGAATAGAATATGTATTTTTTGTAAGACATCAGTTAGTAAATCAGGGTTTGGGTTTATTTTGTTTTACGGCATCTCAACACCTCAGTGGGCTATTTAATGCCGACAAGCTTTTTAGGATAGAGTCGTATGAATAGAATATGCAGTAATATTTTTGAATATATTGCTGCAATATATTCTTCTTTTTTTTTTTTTTACTCGCCTTATTTTAGGAAAGCTAGTAGTTGTAGCAACGTTTCTATGAGGAAGCAAGACATGGAGAGAGACATGATCGAAAGGATGCACATCGATCGGTTGACCCAAATCTCATCGCCACGTGTTTCATTGAGGAATTTTAGAATGGCGAGGCATGCTGACTATTTTAATCCTTCCATTTGGGTGCCATACCGTCTTTTGGGTCTTATATCAAAACTACAAACAGCCAATTCATTACAATTAGAATTCCATGTCCGCTGGGTTTAAATCCAACCAACTCAGTTCGGGTCGTCAGAGTAATGACCAGTTGTTTGCTATTCTGAGCCATGCTTCGAAT